GGACTTCTTTCGTTTTTCCGCGCCTCTTTTCGGGCCGGAGTACCGTCGAGAAAAAGGTCGTCGTCAGTCACCATTCAAGATTCCCAGCCGCCAGGCGTGTTAGACTGATCATAGCGCACGTCGATCTTGTCCCAGACACCTGCTGGCTCGCGTGCTGCGCAGGACACATGATCGCCGCACAAGAGGACGTTCACCAGGGATGCCGACGAAGAGGCCCTCGAGGAGGTCATCCTTTGCGGCGGCGAGGCGGTGGGGCGAGCCAGAGCGGCAGCAGGCGGCGCAGCAGGAGCGTCAAAGGGGGCTCGCGCTCGGCAGCGCAAAGACGTACGACGGGCTGCGCTGCAGGACCGTGACGGACGCCGCCGTCTCGGCCATGGTCGGGAACAGGGTCCAGGTGGTGGCGCCGGAGCCGACAATGACGACGTGTTTGCCGGCGTAGTCGAGGTCCTCGGGCCACCACTGCGGGTGGGCGACGGTGCCCGCAAAGGCGTCGAGGCCCGGGATGGCGGCCTCGAGGGCGCGGTCGTACGAGTAGTAGCCGGTGCAGAGCAGCATGAAGGCGGCACGGAAGCGCTTTCGCTGGCCGCCGTGGTCGACCTCGACGGTCCACCGCGCCGTCGCCGAGTCCCAGTCGGCGGAGAGGATGCGGTGGCCGAAGCGAATGTGCTTGTCGATGCCGTGGGTGCGCACGGCGTCCTCGACGTACTCGATGATGCGCTCGCCCTCGATGATCTTGCGCTCATGCGTCCACGGGTGCCAGTGGAAGCCAAAGTTGGTCATGGCCGCGTCGCAGCGGAACCCGGGGTACTTCCAGAAGGACCACGTGCCGCCGAGAATGTCGCGGCCTTCGAGCACCGCGAGAGACGCATTCGGCAGCTCCGTACGCACGCGGTACGCCGCGTTGATACCTGAGAGGCCGGCGCCGAGGATGAGCACGTCGAGCTCTTCGGCCATTGTGCGAGCGAGGAGGCGAACGGACGGGTGCTGACGTTGTACGAGAACGGGATGCCGCCTGAGCTTAGTGCTGACGAACCCCTTGACAGCTCGATGCGGCGAATGACGCGTGGAGTTGGGGGAGGACAGAGCTAGATGGTGGTTACACAGCTGTTGGCGCTTCTAGTGTGAGATGTTCTGTCTTCTGTTTGCTGTGCAATGTCGGGATTCGACGATAGAGTTTGGCTGGGTGGAGATGGCCGAACGTCAATAGAATGCCACGATGTGACGTGGGGTGATGCGATGATAGGGTCAGGGGGTTGAGGCGAGAAGTGTTGGGGCGAAGTCTAGATCTTCACGTTCTCGATCTTCACTGCTCTTGTGCTGCTACACCGAGCGAGCGCCGAGACACCGAGTCACCGAGAAGGACATGAGTTCACCGAGCTCACCGGGTTCACCGAGAATTGATACGCAGAGATACAATCATGTTGGTAGCAGAGATGCGTTTTGTTTCGGATAAATCCGTATTTTTGTATTTTGTGTTTTCTTCTTTTTTTATTTTCTTCTTTTTTTATTTTCTTCTTGTTTCTCCTCTTCTCACGCCCTCATGCTGTTCATCTAATGTCCCCGTCGACAAAGGAAATACAACACGTGCGCTGTTGCTACTGTCCACCAAGTCCATCCAGCCCATCCACCTCATCCAAGTCCTCGAACATGGCCGGATCGTTCTCCTCCGCCTCCCTCCGCCACCGCGCCATGTCGTCAAACACCCTAGGGTTGACGCGCCGCATCTCCGCCGCCCACCGATCGAGCTCCGAGACGCTGTCGTACGTGTCCTTGACGAGGCTCGCCTCCCAGGCCATCATCTCCCTTGACATGGTGGCGGCAAAGTACGCATGGCACTGCTGCCACGACCACCACAGGTCCGACCCCCGGCCGTCCATGTGGCCCCAGAACATGACGGCGATGCCGCGGCGCACGCAGTCCTCGCACCACTTGGCCGGGAAGTCGTTGCAGAAGACGTCCTACGCCGTCCACTCCCACCCGTCGCGGGCCACGACCTGCACCGCCTCTGCCTTGCGGCAGCCCTGGTTGATGCGCGCCATGATGGGGGTGAGGAGCCGCGTGGGCTGGAACCCGTCGATGCCGAGCTCCGCCGAGGCAACGTTGTGGTACCGCCCGCTTTGCGCCTTGCTGTACTCGCAGAGCTGGAACGGCTGCCGCGGCCGCCGGATGTTGCCCCGGTCCATCCACGGCTTGACGGCCGTCACGGCGCGCGTGCCGTTCGGGCTGCCTTGGCAGAAGGTGCCGCCGTGGCAGAGGTAGACTACGTCGGTTGGGTTGCACATGGAGAGGTAGGCTGCTTCCAGTTTACGCTGCTGTTGGGTTCGTATTGTGTAAGCTTCGGAATGATGACTTGGTTACTGGGTACAGAATTCCATGATACATCTCTGTCTGGAGCAGTTGGATATTTAAACATTCGAAGAAGCCCGAGAGCAATGACGATGATGAAGATCAGCTACTCGTAACCTGCCATCAGGCAGCATGTGAGTCGGTTGTGGTCGCTGGGTGTGCAGCTCCCTCAACCTGGAATACCCATGGTGTTCTGGTGTCTGTAGCATATCTGTGCGGATTGCTGAGGCGCCACCATACTTTGGCAGTCACAGTTCCATGGCTGGTCTAGAATGGGTGCGGCTCCAGATGGACAGGGCTCGACGTCAGCCCAGAACAGCTGTTTTGTCCACGAGCAACTTCATTGCAGCCAGAGGGGCTTCTGGCAACTAATCGAGCCTCATGATGCAGTCCCAAGTCACACCCAACATCCTCTACCATCGATCGTAGTCTGGGATGTCCTCCTTAAAATACGTCTCCGTGACCTTGGTGAACCCAACATCCGGAGCATTATACGGCCACGGCTCGCCCTCGCCCGTAGCAAACAGCCCAAACGAGTTGCCGCTAAAGACGAACCAGCCTGCCGGCGCAAAAGCCTGCCACCTGGACTCAATCTCCTTGACGTACGTAGGGCTCTTCTGCCCCTTGAGGCTGTAGCCCAGCTCATACTTCAGCGGCGTGGCGCGGATATGCAGGGTGAGGCCCGAAGAGAGCCCGGCGCCGGACTCGTTGAGCGGCGTTTGCCAGTACTACAGCGAGGTTAGCAGAAACACCCACAAACAAGCTTTTCGTCTGCCCGTACCTCTGTCGTCAGGTTCCTCCGCAGCTCGGCATACAGACACATGCCCGTGGCGTTGACACAGCCGCGGAGGCCAATGTCCTGGTGCTGAAACTCGGACAGGTACGACGAGATGCCGATCCTGTTTCGTGGGCCCAATGACCCCTTGAAGCCCAGCAGCTCGGCCGAGAACGTCATGTTCAGCGACGTCTGCTTCCTCAGGAGGGCGGCCGGGGTGTCGCGGTCGCTGAGCCCAAACACGTTGGGCCGCAGCACCAGGCGGCCGTTGAAGACTTTGTAATTCTGGGTATACGGCGTCCGCAGCTGATACCAGCTCTTGTCGAGCTCGGGGCCCGAAAAGTCGTCGACCCACGGTTCGGGGACCGGTCGGGCGCCGGCAGCCTTGGCGCCCACCTGCTCGCTGAGGAGGACGGAACGGCCGCCGTTGAGGACCGGCCATCCATCGACCCACTCGGCCTCGACGAGGAAGCCTTCGCGGCCTATGGCAAGGCGTCAGTTCGGAGGAGTTCGACAATCTACGCGCCTTTGTGCAAAGGGGGGGACCTAACCTAATGGTGAACTGCCATTGATGTTCCGCCGCGCGAGAAACGAGGCGTACCATTTGCCGTCCGCCGCCTCGACGAGCGTCGCGTGGCCTGTGGACTGCACGGTCAGGTTCTTGAACCCCCACTGCCCGTTGTACAGCAGCGGGTTGCCGGGTCCCGCTTCAAAGGGGCCCTGGGGGCTCTTGCTCCGGGCGACCGTCACGCGGTGAAGCTCGTCCGTCCCGCCTGCGACTGTCAGCACCCGATGCTCTCAGACTTCGAAATCGAGCATGCGCCCTTCTCACCTTCCGCGGCGATGAGGTAGTAGTAGCCGTCCCGGAACACCGTCTTGGGACCCTCGGGCCGCGCGCTCGCGACGTGCGGCAGCGTGCCGTTCCAGAGGCTCACGTAGGGGCCGACGCAGCGGCCGGACGACACGGAGACCTCGCAGCCGGCGAGGCCCCACAGGCGGTCGGCGTTGTTGTTGGGCGCCATGAGGTTGAGGTACGTCTTGCCGGAGACGGGGTCGTGGAAGAGCTCCGGGTCGATGCCCCAGGGGTCGGCCCAGACGGGGTCGGACCAGGTGACGAGGTCGGCGGACGAGGCGAAGAAGACGCGGGGCCAGACGCGGGCGACGGGGTCGTAGGTCCAGCGCGTCATCGAGGCGATCCAGAACTTGCCTTTGAAGTAGGAGAGGCTCGGTGCCCAGGCGCCTTGGCGTGCTCGTCAGTCTCTGGCGTTTTGTTCCCCGCGTCGGCCGGCGTGGCGGGGCCAAGTGAAGAGGGGGAGTAAGAAGGGAAGATAGGGGTCTTACCGGCGGAGGTCGGGGTGCCGTAGAGCGGCAGCTGTTCCGGGCGGGTAAAGGCATGGCTCTTGAGCGTCCAGTTTGCCAGATCCTTACCTAGTCATGCGGTCAGTATATTCTCTCAGAGTGGTTGAGGGGCGCCTACTGTGGTAGATGGGGATGCCGGGATAGTACTCGATGCTCGACGTCGCGATGTAATAATCGTCTTTGACCCGCAAGATGGACGCATCAGGGTTCCATCCGGGGATGATTGGGTTCCAGATCGCAGTGACAGAGTCGGCGAAGAGCGCTGTGAGGCACGCCCCGAGCGTGGAGATGAGCTTCATTCTGTGCAGCAGCAAGGCAGGCGAAGTGAGCTTAATCTTCGACAGGATCCCATCACGTCGTCTCCCCAGATCTTATAGGAGCCATCGATGTACCCCGCGTCTTCCGTCCAAGGGTGCGCGGAGTGCGTTCGCGGGGAGCAGACGGCCGCCGGAGGAGCTTCCGGGGCTGCTCCGGGTGGGCGGGGAACGAGGCGATGCTACCATGTTAGGGCTTCTGCAATCCACAGACTCTTCTGCCTGGTCTCCTTGATAAGTACGATCAGTATTAGGACCAAGTCGCAATCGGGTGAAATGCCGGCATGCCAATCGTGGGACACGACCGATTGACGAGGCGAATTGATGCCGAATTGTGAGATTGGCTGCGCGTCAAGACAACCCATACCTTAGGCATCTCATGCAAGAAAGAACCCTTACTCTGTCAATACGGATGATCAACCAGAAAGAAAACCACAAGGATGATTCCCAGTTGATGGCAAAAGAATCGAGACATAAACAGCAAAAGGAAACGACGAGAGCAGGATTTGAACCTGCGCCACCGAAGTGAATAGATTTCTAGTCTATCGCATTAGACCACTCTGCCATCTCGCCTGTTGCTGATCGGGTGCCAGATTGCAGGCATTATGTCCGGCGGATAATTGTGTGTGTGTGTGTGGGTGCCTCGAGCCCCAGTACGTGATACTGAAGCGGACGGGCTGCTGTGGATACGACGAACTTGGGTGGTCCAGCCGCTACACTAATAGTCTCGGCAAAGCACCCCAAGTGTGCGGCCTGTATGCAGCCGAGGCATGTTTTGGGTAGATGTACTAAAACTTAGCTTCGAAAGTTGCCGTGATGCATCTCCATTGAAAACTGGTTCATTCACTTTCTTCGACGACACAGCTAGCTCCCTGTGGCCTGACGTCGAAAGAGGTATTTACCCCAAGGGCGTAATGATCTTGTGGAGGGACTGACAGGGAAAACGTCAACTCGGACCACAAGAAGAGACCTGCCGCCGCCCTTCAATTGCTCTTCTCTGGGGCCCTATGACCGTCGCCGGCCGAACGGCAGCGGGTTGCCTTTTCCAGGTGGAGGAAACCTTGTCGCAATTCGAACACAAGCCGCCGTCGTCCTTGAACCGAATAACGACGGTTTTTCCCATGGCATTGTGGCGGTCATCATGGAGACATGCCTGCCACTCCGACAGGTATGCCGTTGGGCCAGGCACTTATCTGGTGAAGTGAAATAAGATCCAGTGCCAAAACACCAACTATATGCATTCAGTCCCAAACGAAGTCAAAAAAGCGGGAAGAGGAGGTGTGTCCGTCTCGATCGCCAAGTCCAAAGCCAAGTTCGCGCCCGACAACATGGGGTCGGCTCACCATGTCCAGGGGCACGCAAACTTAACGTGACTTGAAGGTTTGATCGGCAATGTTCAACCTTGCTTCAGGCCATACTGATGAGGCTCCCCAACCCATATTGCGGGCGACTCGCCGCCCCCCTTTTGGTTGCACCCGCTCCAGCGACCGGAAAAGGACTGCCGTCAACTACCGTGCCAGCCCCCATGGCCAACTAAAGATTCAGCCTCCCGCAACAGCAGTAAACTTCCCTTAGCCCAAACCAATGGGTACTGACAGGCCAGAGCTCCGGACCGCGTGGACTTGTGCCTCTCTGCCCGCACGTGCCATTTCCTCCACGGCAGCGGGTTGGCGAACAGACATTCGGGGGTCACTGGAACGACCCCTATAAATGTCGGCGATCCGCCGGTCGAAGGATCGGCGCTCTTGACAGCTTCCGATTTATTGCATCACAGTCTCGATACCGCAAAACTTCCTCCAAACAGATCACAGACCAAGCATCAAAGCTGAGGCCACGGCCACCAGAGTCCCCTAAGCTATGGAGGAGAGTCGCGAAAAGCATGGCTCGCTCGACAACGACATGGAAAAGGCCCAGAAGACGCGTGTTGACAACGTCGACTCGGCCAGCGCCGACTTTGAGATGGAAGAGGATGCCATGCCGCCGGGCTACTTCCGCAGCCGCTTCTTCATCGGCTCCATGATGGGCATCGGCCTCGGCCTCATGGCCGGCGTCGCTGGATTTGGATACGCCGCGCCCATTCTCGGCGTCATCAACGCCGACATTGGACCCGACCCGAACATCGTCTGGGTCGCCCTCGTGTACACCCTCGTCAGTGCTGTGACCCTGACCATCATTGGGCGCGTGTCCGACATTTTCGGCCGCCGGTACATGTTCGTCGGCGGCGCGGCCCTTGGCGTCATCGGCAGCATCGTGTGCGCCGTGGCCCCGGACGTGCCCACTCTGATCGGCGGCATGACCATCATCGGCGTCGCCGCAGCCACGCAACTGTCCTACTTCTACGTCATGGGCGAGCTCGTGCCGATGAAGTACCGCCTCGCCGGCAATGCCTTCTGCTACCTGTTCTGCATCCCCGGCTCGGGCATCGCGCCCCTCCTCGCCCAGGCCTTCATCCGGCATCACCCTAACGTGGGCTGGCGCGGCCTGTATT